TAACACATCACATTCCAAAATGTTGTATATCTAGCACCAGGAGAAAATTCTTTTCCATTTAAATATTAGACTTTCTACAAAAGTATACACTTTAATTTTTTTTCTATTGTAGTAGCTTTTTTAAGAATTAGAAGCTGTAGCTAGTTTAATTCAAACTTTGTAATTCAAACCTTAAGCATCCGCTATAGCATGTAATTTATTAGCCACTAGAGGGCAGACACGACCAAGTCATTAAATAAATTTCTATTGTTTAAAAATCTGAATTTATTTGCGATACAGTATGTTCTTCAAGTCCAAGGTGTTATTTTCTTTAAAATGGGATATCAACAAATTTTAAACTCTGATAATTCACCTTTATGTTCTTTGGTTTTTTAACCAGCTACCAAGGCCTTCTTAGCTTTGTTTTCAACTATGCAAAAATTAAATTTTTAATAGACATTGTAAGCTATCGGTTTGTTGTTGCATATTATTTATAATACTCTGCTTATGTTTCTAAGTTAATGCACAAATAATACAGTTATATGTTATCTAACGTAATCCTTATAGCACATAAAGTCTATCATCCTTATTTACAACAGGGAGGAATAAGAAAACAATTTTAAAGATCACAGCTGTGTGGCAGAACAGGAATTAAGACTCAGTTTTGTCTAATTCCAAATTTGTGTGTTACATTACTTTTCTTTTTTTCTATTTTAACTCTGAAACATTTAATACTTGCAGAAAGTTCATAAAATGCATATTTGTGTATAAAAATAATGGTGAAGTAAAATACCCATTCCAACACCAACCTGTTCAAAACTAAAGATCTGTTTAGTTCCCTGAAGAAGTGCCTCAGGAGCCCTCTCTGTTTATAACCTCTTCTCCATAAAAGGTTATGATCAGGCCCTCCCTGGTGGCACAGAGGGTTAAAGCACAGCACAAAGAAGCTTAAGCCACTTCCTCATGAGCTAGATCCCCCGCCTGCCCCGAGGAGATCCACATGGCCTGGCAGACCTCTCCTGACCCGCCCTCTGCTCCCCTCAGCAGTGTACTTCATCCATCTGCCTGTTCTACTCCCCGCTCTGTCTCTGGTGAATCCTCTCATCCTCCGCATCTCTGGCCTGTACCCCAGTTCTGTACAAATAAATAAATAAATCTTTTTTTTAAAAAAAAAAGGTTATGATCATCTTTATTTTATAGAACTTTTCTCTTTTAGAATTTTTGGTGAGATTTGTCTGTTTATAACACATATAGTCATGACTTATCTAATTCCACATTTATACCTGGTTTAGTCAAGAAAGCAAAGGAGACTTAGCCACTGGAAATGCAGAGGTGCATTGTATCCCTGATGAGCTAGCAATTTGACTTTGTGAGTAATTCACACCCAGCTTAAATTCATTAAATATGCAGTTTGCTTCAAAGACAGTGTTGGGTCCTTTGCCTGGACAGACCTTCCCACCTCCCCCACAGAATCATATGCACACTGTTGTGTGGAAACAAAGAATGAGCCATGGGTGCTGGAACGGAACAACAGGAGGCACGATGTGTGTTCCTGCCTTGTGTTTGCTACCTTGTGTTTACGTGACTGTTCTTTGACTCCCATGTTATTGTTGCATGTTATTGATGCACTTGCTGAGAGCTTCCGCCTACCCCCAGCCCCAGGCTCCATGCTGAAGGGTATAAATAGGGAAGGAGAGAAAAATAAAGTGTGCCTTTGCTTGCTGACCAAGAAGTGTGTGCTTTAATCCTGACGTCCTTCGCTCAGACCATCTCTGCTGTCATGCTGGCACAGCAGACAGTGTAACAAGGTGGTCCCCAGTAAAAGGGGAGTTTCCAGGTTCCCTGCCCCACCTAGAAGGATGGTGGAGCTGAGCAAGGAAGAGAAGAATCTGTAGAGAATGAAGAGAAAGGAAGCAGGATGGATAGCCAGAAGGAGACCTTAGGAGGCACGTGGGGCAGAGAGACATGTAAAGAAGCAGCTCTTGTTTTGGGTCCTGGACTGGTTGAAACAGATGTGGACTGGTTGAAACAGAGACCTGTGCAGAGGTTCACTATGGACGCATTTATCTTGATTTTGTTTTTGCTCTTTTCCTCCCAGACTTGTCTGGCCATTTCTGATCCTTTTCTATGGGTCCTTTCCAAAGATGCTTTAGACTGTGACGAAATTTCAGGCCTTGCTTTGGGCCAATCCCTTTTGGATAGACTTGTACCCACGAGTAAAAAGGGTAACTTTGAGTGTTTGATTTAGAAACTATACTCTTTGTCTTTTCTGTATTGCACACTAATTATATTAAAGTTCCTTTCCATTGAAAGGCTTACATGTCATGTCTTGATGAGGCAGATGGCAGAACCTATTTAGAGCGGGCAGGTTTGGGGGTTCAGAGGTGTCCCTTTCCCTGCACTGTAACAGTAGGACCTGGTTCCAGGCAACAATACAATTGATATGATAAGTATAATCAGTGAAATGTGACTCACATGAAAAATTCAACCAGCTAATATGGAGAAGGGTCATCAGGGTAGTTGTCTTTTCAGCAAATAACTAAATCAGAGTTCTTAGATCAATCTTGTAGTTTGTCTTATACTTTGAGACTCTCTTTCCCAAAAGGGATAGGGGGGTAGGTAGGGAATCCAAGATCATCTCCCTGAGTTGGCAATTCCTTGGCCAAAATTCCTTTCTCTCTCTATCTGAGAGGAACAGTTAAGTGTTTTCTTTCTCTGAGACACTGTAGGGTACGTGAATTAATTAGACTTTTTTTAATAAAAAATTACTTATGTATGCAATTAGAACTGGGGTATAGGCCAAAAGTTCAGGGGTGGTGAGAAGATTCACCAGAGACAGAGTGGAGAGCAGAACAGGAAGACTGACCGAAATACACTGCTGAGGTGAGCAGCACGCAAGATAGGAAGGTCAGCTGTGTCATGTGGGACACCAACCTGGCTGGGGATAGATCTTGTGATGAAGAGGCTGTGGCTAGCTTCCTAGTGCTGTGCTTTAACTCACTGTGCCACCAGGGAGGTCCAGTATTAGTGGCTTTTAGTGCCACTAGCCTCTGGGGCTATCATCCACAGCTTTGGGCCTTGATTGTGCTAATGCAGGAGGCACTTGGAAGTGTGGTTGTAGGGCGCGCATGCCTGATGGTGTAATCCTGGAGCATGGGTGTGTGTGCAGGTGTAATTGTGCACACCTGAGCCTAGAGGTCAAGGCTATAAAGACAGTAGCAATGAGAGCCAAAAGATGGCTAGGAGAGGATGCGTGACTTACAGGAAGGCAAGAATGCCAAAGAAAGCCTAGAATAAAAAACATAAAAGATTTGCTGGGGGCTGGAAAGCTTTCCACGGCAGACACTCCTAGGAAAACATCCATCCTCAGCATCATTGCACATTTTATGTACTCCCTGTCTGCCACAGTTCCACCTTTGTTTTGTATTTGTTTCTTATTTATTATCAGATTTTATTCCCTGGATGTGTCTCCAAATTGCTTACCTCAAGGGAACACAGCAGTACTAACTCTGTCAGGGTTTCCTCTTCTTCCCATTTCCAGAAAGACGAAAGGCAAGTAGTGATGGGTCCACCTACTTTGAGGCAACATGGTAGCTTTACAATTATTCTGAGTTTAAACACATGTGGTGTGTCACTTTCACATCCATTGTTTTCATGTGAGCTAAATTTGGAGGAAATTAAACTGTCTACATATAAATTTCTTGCTCTTCTGAAATATGGTACCTTATTCCTGAACCTTTTAAAATAAAACTGGTAAAGTAAAATGTCTGTTGAAAAGAGAGCCATTGATTACATTATGAATCTTCTCTTTATTCCTAAAAACCTCCCCAGAGGTTTCCTTACTTTTATGACCCAATCAAGTCAGCTAGCCTTTTCTGTCCCTATGATGACTGGTTTGTTTTCAAGATAAATTAACTGCCATGAAAAAACTTATTTTTTTATAATTCTAACTATAAACTTTATCATACTAAGCCATACTGTAGACTAGAAAATATAAGTAACTTTATTAATATATATTTATATATAATAATTAGTATATTAATATAAGGAGAATATGAAATTATACTGCTATTCCTATAAGAAAGTAACTTAAGTTTGACTTTCTTTTGACATTAGAATTGAAAACAAACAAAACTTAAGGAAATTGTATGACATATGTTGTATGTCTGTGAGTGTGGGAAGTATATGTATATGCATGTGTAATATATATATATATATAATTATGTATTCTCTATATAAAATAGACACAGTACTTCATTATTGGTTTCAATCCTTCGCTTCTTTATGCAAACGCACACTTGTATAGACTCATTGTGGGTGGGTTGAATTTCTCAGCCTCTTGATGTTGGTTTACCTATACGGCTTGCTTTAGTCACTGACAGGTGGGCATAAGCGTCACTATATTGCGTGTCAGCCCATACTTGAAAGGACTTTGCAGTTTCCCCTGTTTTCTTGCAATTCTATCTAGAAGAAAAACTTCTAGAAGGCTACGGTCTCTTCTTATAATCACACATGTGGAGTTGAATAGCCTGTTAACCTGCCTTAATAGCAAAAGCCTGAGCCAGAGTCCCTCAGCTGAGCCCATCTGAGGATAACCAACTGGTAGTGAACCCTCAGCACAAATAGTAAGAAATGATTCTTCCTTAAGCCATTAAAGATTTCATCGGTTTCTTTGGTAATGAGAATGAACTAAATATAAAGTTCTAATTGGTCAAATTGCTCATATCTCTAATTTAAAATATCTAAATAATTTCAAATATGTGGATTTAAAGTGAAACCTTACTAAATTTTCATCATATGTTGGGTGGACTAAAGGAACTTTAAGTTTGCCATGATCTTAACATACAGCTATTAGATATGCAAGATTCTGTTAGTACTTAAGAAGGCGTTATCAAGCAACTGAACCACTAAAATGGGAGAATAAATAAGTTAAATTTCAAGATAGAGTTTAAATTTTTGAATAGTTTAATTCATTACATTTTAAATGCAACCAAAATTTTCAAAGTTACTTTGAGCATGAAGGCAATACTAGGAAATCTAAGCATACACATACTCTATGATACAACAATTCAGTTCTAGATATATACCCAACAGAAATGTTTCCATATTTCCCCAACAGGCATGTTCCAGAAGATTTAGTGTAGGGCCATTGATAATAGCCCCGAACTGGTAGCTATCTAAATGTCCATCAAGAAGATAAATGAGAACAAGTAATCTTTATTTCAATAGTGTAAATCAGCAAATAAATGCATTCTCCCCTGAAAGTCAGACCCAAAGGAGCATATAGTATATAATTATATTTATATAAGGGATAAGAACAGTAAAGACTAATCTATGTAATCAGATGTCAAGATAGTTGGTTTCCTAAATAATACTAAACAGCATCATAAAGAGGACTTCAAGATGCTGATGATGGCCTGATTCTTGAGTTGTGCTTCTAGTTTTTTCAGTTAGTCAAAATGTATTGGGCCATATACTTATGAACAAAATCTATTTTTTATATGTATACTGCACTTTAACAAAAAACTTTTAAATTTTGATTGCTAACTATTTTAGATTAGTACGTTTTCTTTATCAAACTTCATAATGTAAATACAGAATTAGATTTTTTAAAAAAACCTTCCCAATATATAAGGTATATATCATTGTGTCTCTCTGGTTCAGTCATTCCAATAACGGCCATGTCGCTGATTAATTCTCTTCTACTAGTAATAAGTCACCCTCCCTGGATAGGAATATTCTACAATAGGCTGATAATATTTTCTTTAACTTTTGGATAAAGTGATTGCTCCTTGGGTGGACCTATAACCTCAAGTTAGACCACTTCAGTCTTATTTGGAGAATAGAGCTGTGCATGTTGCTCACAGGTGATAATAAAAAATATAGGTAATACTAAATTCTAAAGCCATAGACACAAAAGGCATGTGCCTGTCCCTAGCACAGACCATGCAGTATTAAGAGGAATAGCCACTAGCCAGAGGGCCGATTCCTTCGTCATCACAAGTTAAGTCCTCCAAGTAGTCATCTGCAGCCCACAGCATCTCTCTCAACACAGAAAGGATCAGAACATCCTTTGGAGAGTACAGCTCCCACTCTGAGGAATAATTACTGACCACCAAGATATCAGAGAGAGCAAATCCAAGTTCTTTGTGGACGGTGTGTACCTGCAATGTAAAAATCAAAACTCAGAAATATCAAAATAGAGAAAAATATTTTATATTAATATAAACTATGAAAGCAATAGCAATAAGTAGGAACTCAGCAATAATTTCCTGGTTGGATAAAATGGAGGCTAGAGATCTGGTCCCATTAGGTGCTCTCTTAAAGTGATTCAAAGGTCAACCTTGAATATAACTGCTAATTTCACTTAAAGAAAAATATGTGGAAAGCAAATGGGGGAGGGATCCTAATGAACTAAAGTGGAGAGCTACAACAGCTTTGGTGGTGAGTGTAGCCTGGGAAATATATGTCTGATAAGGTGTGGACCTTTACCCCTGAATCATATATGGTACTACAAACAAATATTAGCTCAATTTATGCACACATACACACATCAGTTAAGAGCAAATACCAATTAAATGCAAAAGCTAACTAATAGTTCTATATAGTCACCTTGAAGTTGAAGTATTTACTATGCATATACAACAGTGCCCATAATTTCTCAGTTTTCTTTAAAAGAAATATTCTCAGGGTAAGCCTATTTTGTTTGACTAGTTTAATGTTGACGTTTAATTCTCGCTTAGGTGAGTGTGCTTAAAGATTCCAAATAGGGCTCTGTGACTGCTTAACACAGTCAATAAGCATTGGCAAATTATTTGTGTGTTTTTGTTTTTTCAGCTACAAAATGTGGCAAGGACAATCCCAATCTCTTAAGTATTGAAAAAGGAAATCAACCACATATTTATTGCTAAAAAATATTAGCCAGCATTATCTCTGCCCAACTTCCTGCTTCCTGTTGACTCCAGCCTCCAACCACATGAGTGACAGATTAATTTTTGGAGGCTTAACTGTAGTCATATAGTTACTTGAAAAAAAAAAAAAATTCTTTGCCCATAGTGTGCCTAATTAAGCAAGTTCACCTCACTTTATTTTCTCACTTAGGTTTAGTTTTATTTTCTCACTTTATTTCCCTATACAAGGATCCAACTTTTCACTACTGAACAATTCCTCATTTCCCAACATGTCTTTTCCTGCACTGACTTAAGCTGTTCCATACCATGAATTTTTCATCCTATTTATCTCTTTACTATCTAAAATACTACTACTTTTTTGAAAGTCTTTACTTAGTGCCACCCATTAAATCTTTCCCCATGCTTCAGTATTTTTCTTCTAATGATTTTATTTTTAATCATTTTATGATATTAATCATAATCATATAATATTCTTTTGTCAACATTTTCTTGTCCTACTCCCTTCATCCTGTCACTTCTACCTATAAAAGTATAAGCTTTTTGATTCAGGGAAGTTGTTTTATTGTTATTTATATCTAATTAGAAACTAGCACACTGGGTTACTCATTAAAGGCAATAAATACTTGTTGAACTGAACATACTGAGTTAAATTGCAATAAACAAGTATCTTTGTCAGTATACAAATAAATAGATCTTTAATTTTTAAAATTTGGGATTTTTATTTTTTTTTAAGCTCAGTATATTTATAAATATATTTCTATTTTTATAAACAGTAATCTCTTATGATTATGGTAACACACTCCAGAAAAATATGTTTACAAAAGACATCATTCATTACCTTAGACTTCACAGGCACACATTTGTGTATGTCTACAAGGTCATTCTCTGTAATCAGATCCAAGCTATCCACATTCGTGAGCAAAGCCATATGTACCACACCTATGCCAAGCATATGCATATTGTTTTAGCATTAAGAACAGCATCAGTATTTTTCAGTTAATGAGCTATCAACTATACAATATCCTTTTGAGAAGACTCTCACAAGCCCATGAGAAAACATCCCCTTCAAATTCATGAGTATCTGGAGTTCCTCTATCATAGGAAGTCTCCTTCATTGCCTTCCATGATAAGAAAGGAACTTCAAATTAAGCTATTTACCTTTTTCAAAGGTAATTAAAATTTATGCTAAAATACTGCTGATTGATTTCAGATCTTAGACAGTTGTTTTTATGGAGACCAGAGAAAATCACCAAAGCACTCAAATAAACAAGATGAAGAACATACTTTAAAAAAAATCCAAAGACATAGACTATGTCAAAGCAGCACAAATAAAATATTCCAGTGGTACAATGTTGGCTAGCACCTGTCTGTAGCCCACCCAGCAGTGGCTCTTTCCCAAAATGAATGGAAATTAAGGTCAAGAAAAGTCACTGTGGGTGTATCCTGTTCAGCCCTTATGTTACCTCTCCCTACCTTATATTTTATTTTTTATCTATTTTTTCTTACTGAATTGTTATTTTCTGCTGTCTAATCCTATAATGCCCACAGGGAAATCTAGGACAGTAGGTACATAAAAACATGCTCAGAGTAATTAGTACTCTACTGAACGCTTTGTTTATAATAATTTGTTCAATCCCTACAATAAATCTGAGGTAGATGCCATTATCATACTAATTTTATAAATTAGGAAGCCAAGGTCCTGAAAATTCAAGTAATTTACATAAAGTCAAACAGCTGGTGAATACACAAGTTGACCAAATCACATTGATGGGCTATGGAAAACTCACATGTACAAATTCTTAAGTTCTCCATGCTGTCTAGAAACTATTCTACAGTGCAGTGTAATCTTGTATCCTTAGTGTAAAGGTAGAATGAGACTCACCACACTTTATCACATCCCTTCGAATTTGTTTAATCTTTGCCATCATTTCATGAGACAAGTGTTCAACAGAGTTGGCATCTAATACAAATGCCACACAGTGGATTCTGTCCTTCAGTGAAGGGTTGTTAATATAGTCACTGTGCCCTGGTGTAATTGGTTTAGTGTGATTAAACTGTAGGATAAACATAAAGCAACATATTAATCAGTGAATATTTATGAGCACATAGTATACAGCCAACACCTGTGCCAGTGCATGAAACAGTGCTGAACAACACAAATGCTTGTTTTTGAGAATAACAACCTATATAGGGAAGACAGGCTGACTTATCCTTGCAAGTTGCTATCAACCTTTCACCTAACCAGGTAAACTGCCAAGAAAGGTAGAATCTCAGAGATAAAAAAAAAATAGGGAAAGGAGCCCACCCTGGGGGCACAGGGGATTAAATAAAGCACAGCACTACAAAGCTGGCACTAGCCTCTTCAGCACAAGTTTAATCCCTGGCCATGGAGGTGACCCACATGGCACAACAGAACTCTCCTGTCTCACTCCCCTCAGCAATGTCCTTCAGTCATCTGCCTGTTCTGTTCCTCTGGCCTGTATCCCAGTTCTATATGCATAAATAAATAAGTCTTTTTAAAAATGGGGAGAGTTAGAGGAAGAGAGAGGGATCTGAGGGAGGGAGGAATGTAGATGACTGTGGTGATGAAGTATGGGCAAATGGGGGAGAAGGGAAGTAAACATTGTTTAAAAAGGAACAGAATGTAAATAGATATACAAATTAATAAATTTAATAAAAAAGAAAAAAATAGGGAAGTTAATCTGATACACTGAATTAGGATCAGACAGAAGCAGCAGTATAGCCAGAGGAAGAGCTAAGTATATTCAGAAAGAATCCTTAGATCATCAAGTTGAATGTAAAGGGTTGAAATGGTTCAAACTGAGGCATATTTATTCTTGAATTAGCAATTGCTCTGCTAGGAGCATGTATCATAAATATGCTGGCAAAAACACAAAGTGACATATGTGCAGGGCTGTCTACCTCAAGACAGTTCCAGCAAAATCTGTCAATAACAAAGAGTACTTTATCACTTCCCTATGAAATCTGAATAAATAAAAAAAATTTTTAATGTGTTTTTGGATATATAAAGATGCAAATCAACTTTCAATATTAAAACTTATTGTAGTTTCAATCAAGTAGTAACATAAACAATAAAATATAATAAATCAAAAATACAAACAATAAGGCAAAACACAAATGAAGTCACTTGAAAAGTACGTATAAAAATAGTCAAGATAGGGCCCTCCCTGGTGGCGCAGCGGGTTAAAGCACTGCACTAAGAAGCTAAAGCCAAGTCCGCATGAGTTTGATTCCCGCCTGCCCCGGAGGTGACCACATGGCGAGGCAGACCTCTCCTGACCTGCCTGCTGCTCCCCTCAGCAGTGTACTTCATCTGCCTGTTCTGCTTGCCACTCTGTCTCTGGTGAAGCCTCTCACCGCCCCTGAGCCTCTGGCCTGTACCCCAGTTCTGTATGCACAAATAAATAAATCTTAAAGAAAAAAAAAAAGATAAGAATGTCCCTTTAAAAAAAAAAAATAGTCAAGACATACAAATAAGTAAAAAGAATAATGAATATGATTTTTTCCATTGTGTACTCCAGATATAATTAATTGTTATGATGATTTTTTAAAAACATGTTAATTAAGGCAAAAATAATAATTTTAAAAATCAGTTAAAATTTCTCTATTATTAAATAAGTCTTATACCTGATATCTGTCAGGAACGTGGCCTTTTAAGATGGAGACTATGTCATCCATATGCAGTCCTTCCCCTTCCTCACACAGTCCCATTGAGTCACACAGAATAAATGGCAGGAGGTTGCCATCTTTTCCTTCCTTAATGGAATATGTCCTGTACTACAGAGGAGAAGAAACAACTTTAAGAGGTAATTAAAAAAAGAAAAGAACTAAATTGTGATGATGTCTGCATGCCAACAGATGTATTAACTAAAAGTTTTTAAGTCTAAGTAACTTGAACAAGTAAACAAAGGTTTTGACTGAGAATGGACTTACCATCTTTGATGTTCCACTTGGATCAGAGCCAACCAAAACCTGGTGGGTTACACGACCTTGGAAAACAGACTTCACTGAGTTGACAAAGCTAGACTTCCCAGCTCCAGTTGGACCCAACAACAGAATTCGCATTTGGTGAACCAGATTTCCATATGGCTGGTAAGTCCTTATCGCAGACAATAAACTCTCCCTGAGCCTTTTTAGGCAATGCAAATTTTAACAGTTGACAGAGTTAGTATACAAGACCTTACCATAAATTTTCCCAAAATTCGTTTTCTATTATTATAGTATACTATCTGTTTTTCATTTGCAATTTATTTTCTAGTATAAAGGGACAGCAAATTGTTCTACCTCAAATTCTATTGCAAAAGAATCATAAGATTAACTGAAATCAGATACAAATCTTTCAGATTTAAGTTACTAGACTATATGAATTTAAGAATAAATATCAATTATGAAGATAAACTGTCAACAATATCAAAAATAGATTTCAAACACCACAATAATATATGTAACTATGAAGTTTGTGGAATTATAACAATTTCTAATGTGGTCTGGAAGTTTATAATAGGTATCCTCCAATTGCATTCCCTAAAATAGCTGAAACTAACTGTAAAAATACAGACATGCAGCGAAATAATAACTCTTAATTACATAAAAACATTACATGGAATGCCTCTACAGAAAGCTGATTTTATTTTGACATTACTATTACTGAAGTTTTGTGATTATAAAAAGTTATATTTGCTCTTGATGATCTATGTTATCTGTTATAATTTGTGCAAAAAAATTTAGACAGCTTATAGAGTGTCTAAGATATAAAACTGTAATAAAACATTAAAGACATTGACTTACTCAGTGACATTTTTCATTCTCCTTTCACTTAGTATATCTAGGGAAATAATCAAAAGATAGTGAAGATTACAATAATCAAAAGATAGTGTTGAATGACTGGTACACTGACTATCAAAGAATTCACAAGGGAAAATACAAAAATAGTCCTTCCGTGAAAAATTGCAACGAGTCAAAAGCAAGTAAAAAAAAAAAGTGACATATCTCTTTAACACCATCTCATTTGTAGAGATCAGTGTTAAAAGTAGGGGAGACACTCCAAAGTCAGGGGATCTTTTCTCACCCAATTATTCAATAGAATGCAGGAGATAGAACTGAGGTCCTTTCTGAATCAGAAGAAAGAATAAATCACTCAAATGGAAGCAATAACAAGTAATAAACAAATCTGAGCTTAAGGTTTCCACAGCAACACTACATCAGTACCTTGGTAACATTCAAACATCTTCCCAAATAAGATATGATCTAAGAATTATGTATTCTGATAATTCAAGCATAAAGACCACAAACAAGTAGTATAGAACATGCAAATATTTAAGGAATATTATTTTCAGGCACTCCTCTTTTACATGGATAAGTGTAAACAAGTATTTCATAAAATAAATATAAATGGCCAATACATATGCTAATGATTGTTAATGATCATAGATAAGCAAAAAAGAAATTAGAAACCACCTTTGACTACAAATTGCCAAAAATTTTAAAAGTTGATAATACCAAGAATGTCAAGGTTGCAGGGAAAGTGACATTTCTATAAAATCCTTGGCCATACTACAGACAACTGAAGTGTTTTAAAGGTATCCATCAAAATGCAAATGTGCATAATCCTTAAACAGCAATTATTCTTCCAGGAAGTCATCATAAGAAGTGCATATTGTATGCATACGTATATTGTAGGAACACTGTTTATAACAGTAAATATTGGAAACAATTTAAATGTCCTTTATTAGAAACATTAATTTTGGACTTTTGATATAATGCATACCGTGGGAAACTGTATCAGAAATGATCCAGAATCAGTCAAAGAAAACATCAATTATTTCAAGTCCTGGTTTCCGTTCAAGAGAATATCACTATCTCACTATCTCAATGTTTACTTTTCTCTCTCTCTCTCTTTCTCCCCCCCTTCCTCTTTCCCTATTTTTTCCCTTTTGTCATGAATCTAATGATTGCCTTAGCAAATAATTTGTGGCCAGATTTCACTTTGGATCACCTGGTGATAAAGACAAGTGAAAATATCATTTTTTCCTCAAGAGGAGTCAGGTCCTACAAACATAGAGGAAAGAACATTATAGGTTTATCTGATGAAACTTACCTTCAATTCGAAAAACTCCACACTCTTGAATAGAAAGAGCTTCCTCTTGAGGAAGCCCAAGTTTTTCCATTGTATTTGCATTTATAATCAGCTCTTGTCTACCTAAATGTATGCAGAATTCAGGTATCCGGTAATCCTTATTATTATCAACAAACAAATAGGAAGTTTTATGACATCCTATTTTGCATTCTGAAATTGTAGTCTCATGAAAGAAAAAAATGACGATGGGCACTTTACGATTTTGCTGAAAGCCTTCCCGTATATGTGCCCCCAAAACACGATTTCCGCAATGAACTAGTATTAAAGCAGGTCCTTGATCATTGCATCCAGCAAGCAAATCACGAGGAATACTTTGGGCAGTAACCTTATTAAGAAGACTAAATTGTTTTCCTCCAAAATAATTTTGCAGTTTCTTTTCTTGCGTCCATTCCAGACAAGTTGTCAATGCCATACTTCCCGATCTAGTGTAAAATCAAATAATTTCCCATTAAATATTGAAAAACAGATAAAACATAGTGTCACATATTATTTACTGTTACCTGTGAATCTATTAAACAGAAATGGGTGAACAGATAAGGAAAATACCAGACAGTTTTTTATTCTAAATGATTTTTTTTAATTAAAAAAAATGCTATTGTGGCGCCCTTAAACGTGGGGCTTCAACAGAAATCCCAACAGGAACCTGAAGGTAAGTTCTTTCTCTCTCTCTCTTAGGAAGGCTAGGATTCTGCCTAGGGATTACAGGCTCCCCTCTGTGAAGGAATACAGAGTTAGGAAAGTCAGGAATCACAGAACTTATAAAGTAATCTTTGCTATGAGTCAAAATCAGTCCAAGAAAAGATGACTTTCTGTTGTTAAGCATACTCTTGATAAGTGTAATATTAACTCAATTCATTCCCAGTTGATAGCCTTTTTAGACTTTGTAAAAATGTGTTGTCCTTGGCTCCCTGAAAACCGGAGCTTAGATACAAAAGCTTGGAAAAAAGTGAGAAAGATGAAGCTGTATTACTCCCACCATGTGCCTGACAATGTGCCTGTTAAAGCATTTACCTTGTGGAGACTCTTGAAATATATGCTAGATCCTTTGCCAGAGCCACAAGTTATTAATAAAAGACTAAAAGAGATTCATAATGCTGCCTCAAATAAAACTACGCCTCTTTTACACAAACCTAGTTCTAAGGCTTTTGTGGCAAATCCAGTGGACATAAATCAGGCTGATAATAAAATGTAAAAAAAAAATCATCCAAAAAGTAAGGAATGAGTTGACCCAAAAACAAAACAACAACAAAAAAAAAAGAGAGAAAAAGAAAAAGAAAAAAAAATCCTAAAATGATGAATATGCTCAAGTATGCTCTAACCAGTCTCTTTCCTTTAAGAAAATTTAAAAACTTAACAGTGACATTGTGCAAGTATGCTAACAGTATTTTTTATAAGAAGGCATTCAGTCTTAATTTTGCTATTTCTTTAAAATTTTTCCTTTTATTCCTTTTTTTCTGTTTTTATTTTTATTACTATTTTTATCATTTTGGCCTATATAATTAAAACTGCAGTTACACAGGATTCCATGTGGAGTAACAACAAAAACTGTCTGTGTCTATATGTTACATGTCTGTATGTCTTTTGTTTATGTTTAATTGTCTTGGCCTCGAGGTGTTCTAAATTGGTTTAAATGGTACCTATAAATATTATAAGCAAACAAAAATGTAATGTTTATAATAACTGACTTGTTTTAAAACAGGTTATATCTATATAATTTTTTTCTCTCTTATTTGGGTTAATAATGTCAGATAAATAAAGGTTTTAAATAATTAAGGTTTTAAAATTTTTTTTAGTTATTAAACATAATAACTAAAAGGCTATGGTTTAACTGTGAATATCATCATTACTGTTATTTTTGTTTGTTTTTGTGACAAAGCTTCCCAAAATCCTAAATTAAAATATAACTTGGTAACTCACCACTTGGTTCATTAAAGGAAATTTTGTGGAACCTCAGTAGAGCTCCTGAGACACTCCACAGAATTTCTCTCATTAAAAAAAATAAATAAATAATATATATATAAATTTAACATATATAATAAAAAACTAAAAAGGAAGCATTGTCACTTAAAAATAATAAAATAAGAGGTAATTCTTTGACATAAACACAACTGTTATCATTGCTTTTCTAAAACATGTATAAAAATCTTATTTTTATGTATGTATGTTAATCATTGTCCTACAATAAGGAGCCATAAAATAATAATAATAACTAATAATAATAATCTGGTAAATGGAGATTGTTACAAGATTTATGGACTATTAATGGTATCATAGAAACAATGGGGAGCCTCAAGACAGGGCTGCCATCTCCATTGCAGTCCCTAAAGGGGACCCAGTTACTGTAATAGACCTCCAGAACTGTTTTTTCACCATCCCTTTGGCCTCACAAGATTGTAAAAGATTTGCCTTTAGCATTCTATCACCTAATCTTCAGCACCCATATCAGAGGTTTCAATAGTGGAAGGTACTACCAGAGGGAATGAAAAATAGTCCCACCTTGTGTCAAAATTTTGTAGATCAGGCTTTACTAAGATTTAGGGAGACATTCCCACAGGTTTACATTTTAATTAGTCACTCGCTATATGCCTTACTAAACGAGGCTCTTCATGCCTTGACTTCCTGCTTGCTAGACTTTGGGCTAGTCATAGCCCCTGAGAAAATCCAGACCTCACCGCCAATCAATTATCTGGGATGTGTAATTCACACTAATTCGATAACTCCCCAGCATTTACAGCTGAGGGTTGATGCTTTAAAAACGCTAAATGGGGCCCTCCCTGGTGGCACAGCGGGTTAAAGCACTGCATTGAGAAACTAAAGCCACTTCCGCATGAGTTCGATCCCGCCTGCCCCGAGGTGACCACATGGCTTGGCAGACCTCTCCTGACCCGCCCGCTGCTCCCCTCAGCAGTGTACTTCGTAGATCTGCCTGTTCTGCTCCCCTCTCTGTCTCTGGTGAAGCCTCTCACCCTCCGCATCTCTGGTCTGTACCCCAGTTCTGTATGAATAAATAAATAAATCTTTATAAAAAAAAAAAAACACTAAATGACTTCCAAAAATTGTTAGGAGATATTAACTGGACTCGACCCTATTTCAGGCTTACAACTGATGATCTTCCGCCTCTGTTTCTCATTCTGAGAGGCAGTGCGGATCCTAGATGTCCTAGGCAGCTGACTGATGAGGCAAAGAAGGCTCTTGAAAAAATTAATACAGCTGTTAACAAACAACAGCTACACAGGCTTGATTACACTAAAACCTGGGACCTTGTAATCCTGCCTACACACCCGTTTTATGGCAACAGGGCCCACTAGAGTGGCTGTACCTTCCTTTTACCACAAAAAAAGTTTGTTTGTGCTTATCCATCATTAGTGGCTTCATTAATTGTCAAGGGCTGTAGGAGGAGTGTGGAACTTTTCGGTCGAAAATTTCAATCTCTTATAATACCCTACAATAAGGAACAGCTTGATGTGCTGTTACAATTTGATGACAATTGGCAGGTTTCTACTTAGTCCTTTATGTGGGATATCAAGTTTCACCTTCCCCCTGACCCTTTGTTGCACTTCTTAAAGGAACATACTGTCGGGGGACCGAGACCAGGACTTTGCCTCCTATGCACAAAACAACACTTGATTGGAACTTAGAGTAAACATCCTGGTTGAGAATGCAGTACAGCCGAATCCCTTCCCCCACTCCTTCCTTTCCAGCTCAGCAAGCTTTGGCGCCAAAGAGACAAAGAGCTGACGATGGATCCCTCCCCCCCACACCCCCCCACACCCCCAACCCCCGCCTTTCTGCAAGCTTAAATACCCGCACCCTGCTCAATAAACTTGAGACCTTGACACGATCCAGACTGACTCTGTCTTTCTTTATGCGCCTGGTCTCCTTTCTCTCTCCCCCCATTGGTTCTACAGGAGGCGCCCCCTTGAGACCCACGAATTACTAGGCCTGCTGGACGGATCAGGAAAACTCAACTTCGTCCATGTTTCTATAGATACATACTCACATCTGATCATGGCCACTACAAGGCCTGGCGAAGCCTCTAAAGATGTTTCTCAACACTTAATGTCATGCTTTGCTTATGCTGGGAAGCCCTGTGCCTTAAAAACTGACAATGCACCAGCATATAGAACTGCCTTCAAAAAAATGTTTATGCTTCCTTTACAATTTCCCATACTATGGGAATTCCTTATAACCCACAAGGACAGGCCATCGTTGAGAGAGCTCATCAGACTTTAAAATCCCAAATCTTAAAATTACATCTGATTTCAAATACAGCTCCCCCCATCACATCCTTAACCATGCTCTTTTTGTTCTCAATTTTCTCAATCGTGATGCCTCGGGGACCTCCCCTATGGAAAGACATTGGAAGCCTGAGGGCTCAGAGCCAAAACCTCTAGTTAAATGGAAGGGTCTTTTAACTGGAACCTAGAAAGGGCCAGATCCACTCCTTACAACAGGGAGAGGCTATGCTTGTATTTTCCCACAGAACCTAGATTCGCCCACATGGGTTCCTGACAGATTTGTCATTATGTCCCTCCACGACAACACAAACCAGTCACCGCCTAGGACAGCTCCTGGCAGCTGCAAACACACGATCACCCAGAAGATGAATGCTGCAGCCCAGATGCGATTTTGGCTCCACCCTTTCGCCACCTCTGCCTGCAGAAGGACGTTAGCGACCATCACACACCCTCTTCAGAATCAGCGGCCCCCGCCCCCGTCATGAGGGCTCTTGGGGAAATATTCCAACGTGGGTTCAGGTTAAAAACCTGAGTCGTCAAGCCTCTCAATGGGCAAGACAGCAAGGGATGCCGCCCTCCCCAGAGAATCTCCTACTGGCTATGATCACTATTCTCACTTGGCGGGTACCCATTACCCTCGCATCTCAATACTGGACCTATAATCCTGATCCTCCTATACTGCACCCTACTCCATGGAACTCTCCTTCACCCCTTCGAGTGTTTACTAATTTCTCTAACCTTCTTGGAGGTGTTTCAGATTCCTTCCTCAGACATAAAACCAGCTCTAACTTTTCCTTCCATGGTCGCGTAGATTCTATGCCCTTATGCTTCTCCATTATGCATCACCATTCTACCCCTTAATTATCACCCCTGTCTTCCCCTTAATTATCACACCTTACTAACTGACACTCCCATCTACGACTTCATCAAGAGCTCATGGCACCATCAATTGTGGGTCCTGCAGATGCTGACCATCAGGCTCTCCAACTACCAGGACCTGGTAGCGACTTTGCCCCCAACTTTCCTTCCTAATTGCACTGACATTTCACTTCCAGAAAGAAGACAAGTCTGCGATCACATTGACCGCTGAGATGGATACCCTCCCTGGCCCTCTTGTGCCTTTTACCCTGCAGGCTTGCGTCTAGCCCCTATCAATAACTCAACATATATTTTTGATCCTTCAGCAGCAGGTGCAGCTACAATCAAGCTGTCTGGCCCACCAAATCCCACCAACTTCCGGGACAAATTGATTTCTGGAACTATATACCATTGGAATAATTCTTTTGCCCCTCGTAATGAAATTCTCTCTCGTTGGTATAGCTATGGCTGGGTTGCTCCTTCCTTCCTTTTTTCTACCCTCCATGGTATTGTGATTCATACTGAACTTTATCGTTTATTTGCAGCAGCAGCACCTATTTCTCTTATTCGTCCCCATTCCCCCAAAAACATTTCCTTTGTCAGGGCCTGTGTCGGACCTCCCTACACTCTGTTAATTCAGGAACCAGCAATCTCCAAATTCTTCACATCCACAAGACCTACAGCATCACCTGCCTCGGCTGCCGCCTTACCAACTGCCTGGATCCTTCCGTGGGCATGATTACTTTTATGATCGTCCATCAACCCCTTTACATAGTCCTGCCTGTCGAGCTCAACGGCCAGTGGTATGATGACTCAGGCACCTGCGCTCTCCAGCTCATCAACAACGGCCTGAGACGTCCAAAACGTTTTGTACTCATTCTGGGCATTACCGCCTTGATTTCCATTATTGCCTCTGTAGCAGTTTCCACCACTGCCCTTGTGCAACAAGTCCATACAGCCCATCATGTTAATGACCTCTCTCGTAATGTTTCCCAGGCTCTCGCTTTTCAAGAGCACATTGATAAAAAGTTTGAGGCTCGAATTAATGTTCTAGAGGAGATGGTTATTTATATTGGTAACCAGATCCAACACATTAAATCTCACCTTACTACTCGCTGTCATATTGATTTTAAGTGGATCTGTGTTACTCCCCATCAGTATAACTCCTCTTCTGTTCCATGGAAAAATGTTAAAAATCATTTGCTTGGTGTATGGAATAATACTGATGTTTCCCTTGACATGTCTTCCTTACAGGATGCAATTAAACTTACCAGCCTTTCCTACACTCCTGCTGCCTCTCCTGCTGAAGTTGCTGACTCTTTTCTCTCTGCTCTCCAACATTACACCTCTACAACTGCTTGGTTCTCACTCCCCTCCTTGATTAATTTTGGCATTTCCCTCCTAATCATCCTCTCTCTCCTGTGTATATTTCCAGTCCTTCCTTGTCTGAGCCCTCTTCACAGCCCTCAGAAAGACCCATGTTGAATTAAAGGCGTTTTAGCTCTGATTTCAAAACAAAAAAGGGGGAAATGACACAAGCTATGCAACGTCCATCGTCTGACAGATTCCGGGTGGATTGGGATAAGCTCTGAAAAATCAGACTGTCCACTGCTAACTTATGTTATGACCTCCCTTTTTTGTATAAACATAGTATCAAAATATTCTGAGCAACATTCAGTTTATAACTGGACTGTCTTAGCCACACAGGCAGCTGCCTGGTTCAGGCAAGCTGCCCCAGGAGGAGAAATTCCTCTGTCTCCTGAGACAAAAGGCAAGCCCAGGAGAAATAAGACCCCAGGACATAAAAACTCCTGGGAAGCTTCCTTGGTTTCTTTAAATAAAAAAGCAAACCTCAGATAAGGCTCCCAGGGCATAATGGACAAATTTTAACCTTGACTACACGGGTGTTGTTTGATATACAACTGTACAACTTTCTCTTAATTTACTCCTTTTTAAAACAACCACTAACTACTCTCTGCTAGCCTTAAATTAGCCATAAGCTTTTCTTTAGACAATCACTGATAACACTGCTAACACAATTTATTACTACCCCAAAACCCCTAACAACCTTTTGCTAACAAGCTCACCCTTTCCCAGACCCCTCTTCCTTTGAGTGATAACTAGACAGCTGTATACATGATAACTATCACAAAACGTATAATCTATTATACCATAAATTGTTAAGAGAAGAATGCTTTTTCCCCTTGTCCTTGAGAATGTTTTATGGAGATATCACGTTAACTTACCTACGCATTACTGCAATTAACTACTCGTTACACAGTATAAATAAAGACCTGCTGAAGGGATAGCAGGAAGACTTGCACCCTATCCTGACTCTGGTGTCTTCCTCGCGCCTGCTCCTCTCTCCCTTTTTGGAATCTCCGCTCGCCGGCGCCTTCCCATCTTAGGGTCCTGCCTGTGCTGCCTCCAGACACCTCAAAAGTTGGAGCTGGTCTCCAACACTATTGCATGCAAGTAGCTAGAAAAGTAGAAAGTATAAGGTCAATTACCTGTTTGTTGAGTTTGTACAAGGGCTGGAACTGAAGCAATTGCTCTTTCTGGACAGTGATTCAAGCTAACATAGGAACAAAATGCCACAGCAATCTTGAAGCTTTTGAAACACAGAGAAAAAGAAACTGAAACCAAGTATGGCCAAGCCCAGCAGCAGCCTGCTAACTTCCGCAGAAAGAAACAAAAACAGATCCAGCTCATTTTAGAAAGTGAAGTTGGTAAAATAATATTGGGTGAATCAAATGAAGCCATATAGAAGGAAACCTAACTGTTCACTACATATTTAAGCAACTTTTGTTAAGAAAAATCCAGTCATTTTCTGTACCTGTAAATTAAAAAAGAAAAAAAGTGAGGTCTCTTAACTGCAGGATATATTTGTCAAATTTACCCACTTCTCTTGGTATTTGCTATCAGTTAATTCTGGACCAACATATTTCTTTATGTAAACTGCTAGAATAACCTCCAGATCAGTTTTGCTGGTTTGCTTGTCACCTCTCCAGTGCATTCTCTTTGACATAGTAAAGTTCAACTTCCTCTGTAAAAGTGTAAATTAGGTAATGTTGACACTTGCCATCCCCAACCCCTACCCCCCAGGAGGCCAGCTGCAAGGCAAGTTTTCTTTACTGTATTTTGTGTCTGGATTATGGAATGGGAAAATGTTGATTGGGGTGATTTTTAATAGAAATGATCCAATCAGATTGCTTAAGAAAAAATGCAATGAGGCAGCTAAGGAAGGGATCCCTGGAAGAGGACATAAGGCAGAGTGAAGCCAGCTTATGGGACTCTGTTTCTTGCCTCTGAGGAAAGAAAGACTGTCCCAGGCTTCTGTTCCCAGCATCAAGAAAAAGAAGAGCACTGGGTCAAGAAGATGGTATATTTACATGATAGAATATTAATCAGCAATCAAAAAGGATAAACTCATGCCCTTCACAGCGACATGGATGGAGCTGGAAGGGATTATGCTCAGTGAAATAAGCCCAGAAGAACAAGAAAAATATCAAATAGTCTCACTTATAGAAGGAATGTGGAGAAACAAAATGAGGAATCGGGGAGAAAAAATCGAACTATAATAAAGTAAAAATCAAAATCATCAGGCAACTATAGATCAGAGACATTCTATGGGGAGGAGGAGGGAGAAGGATCAGGACAGGAGTGGGAAGAGCACAAGGCACTATGGTGATGGTGCACAGGTGAATTGATAGTGGGAATTTCAAGGGAAAATCACACATTGTACAAAAGTGAAGGATGAGGCAATAAATATAGTGAAAAGAAGAGCACTCTGTGCCTGACTTCTGAAGAAAGAAGTATTGAGCAACTGACCTCCAAAGGAAGAAAACACTGTGTCTGGGTCTCTTTTAAGAGCTGTTAACTGTTTCCAATCACCCAGCACTACCTCCCCTAGCGATTGCCTCCATTGCTGTCTGGCCCAGCATCTGAGACTAACCATTCCGGCCCTCAGATTGTTGCTGCAGGCTGCTGCAGTCTCATCTCAGCAGCTCCACCTGTGAGCACCTCCACAGTGGGCTGGACCCTGCCCCCTGCTTGCCAATTGCCGTGAGCTCCAGACCCTGTTGACTGGGACTGTCTACATCATCTTCAATGAATGACTTCTTTTAGGACTTCTGGTCACTGTGGACAATTTCTGAGGTGAGCTTGCCGGCCACTATGGTCTTAGTAATTCTTTATTTCCCCTGTTTGTTAAATAAACCCCATTGTTGTTGTTCCTGAAGCCTGAGCAGTCATGCCATTGTGCGTATGGGTGAAAACCCACAGACCTGTCCCCCTTTGGGCACTATTCTTCGATCTGCTGTAGCCCCTGATAATTCTGTTCCACATGAATGCACACTAAAATGCCTCCCCTCACTTCCCATACTAGGTTGCAAATGTGAATGTCCTACAGACTGAAGACAACTTACAGATTTCCTTTGTAAGGCCCACAAAATGCCTTGTCTTTTTTTTAAATTTTGAACTTTTATGCTTTTATATCATTAGGGCATCTACTTTCCAATTTCCCTTTGTCCTCTTAAATCCCCTACTCATTTTGAGAAATTTAATTCTCCTGCGTGCTTAGTTTTGACTATTAAAAAAAGAATAGCAACATCAAATAAAAATATTTTAAGCAACTTTTGGGTATTATTCACCAAAACCAAAAAAACACCAGAAGTTATTTTATGCTTATGCCTCGGTCAGCATTTAACATGTTTTATTTATTCATTTTGAGATGATGAAAGTCCACACCTTTCAAAAATATGTTATCCTGTTTTCCCCGTTTTGTAAAGAAGTTTGTAATACCATTAAACTTCCTAACCACAAATTAAGATCAATAATGTTCATTAAAATATTTAAAGAATTTATTTAATTAATATGAAAATAAAGGTGAGAAAATAATATCTAACAGAATAGCCACTTGAGTAGATGTTCCTTCCTAGAGGTACTTAGTTGATCACCTGCTAATTCCAGTATCTTGCCATACAAGGCAAGCTTACTATTTGTGTTACAAATGATCTTTCATTCTGGAGCTCTCTTCAGGTCTTAAGGCTGGCTTCTGCTTGTCTCGGGCTTTAAAGGGTGAGCATCTTGCTCCCTTCAATCTTCCACATGTGCTGAGGTGCCTGCTTCCTTGACTGAGCAGGACAGCAGACACCTTGCCCGTTGCTTCCTGCTTAGACTCCAATCTCTGTACCATGAACACTTGCGGGGCAAGACAGACAGCATCTAGACATGTGCCGGCCTATAAATTCTTACTCTCTCTTCCTCTCTCTCTCAGTGCTCCCTTTTCTCACTTCCTATGACGTTTCTCTCTGTGTGTCCTATATTCATAACAGAATGATGGTGAGGACACCCACCAACAATGTCAGCCCCTTTCCCACAGGGGTTTGTCCCATATCCGTGATCACATAGTCTTATGGTGGAAGTGTTGGGATGCATAAATGTATAGATGTATAAATGTAGTTCTATTGCCCCAAAATGTGTAATACTGCAGAAAAGCCATCTCCACAAAACTGAATTACACACTATGTGATCTGTAGTTAACAAGTAATCAAAGAATGGCCTCCCACCCTGACCACAAGGAATTTTCAAGAATGAGCTGTTCCATTTTCCTATTTTCATGGTCTCTGGAGAGGGACTAATCTAATACCTTGGTTTTCTCACCAGGGCCCACTACTTTATAAGCTGCTTATGGTGAGCAAGACCTTGGCACACATGGGTAGAGTTATGAAAAGCTGTGTTAGAAGAGAAACAATCTCAAGCAAAGAACACTGGGTAACACACTAGCTTTCAGAGATCATCAAGTATTGAGAGCCATATCAATAGCTTTCAATGGTCAAGTAAAATACTTCTTCACAATCTCAAAAGATCAGAAGATTCTCTTTTCCAGTTTGAAGATTGACTCAAGAACTTAGACTGGCGCAGGAGGGCCTAAATGACCAGTTCAATTATAAGACTGGAAATTGTAAGGTGATATGGAACAAATCCCTGTAATCATCTATTGAACAGAAATAAATAACACTTAGTTCTTTAATAATAAATAAACAAGATATGGAGATGCGGGATTAAGTCTCATCACTATGAAGCTATCAACAGTTGCTGCAGCATAAGTTTGATACCCAGCCAGGGAGCTGACCCACATGGTGCAGCAGACATCACCTGTCTTGATCACTGCTCCCCTCCACAGTGTATTCCAATGCATTTGCCTGTTCTGTTCTGTCTCTGGTGAATCCTCTCACCCCTGCACCTCTAGCCTTTACCCCAGTTCTTGTATGCATAAATAAATAAATCTTTTTTTAAAAGATATGGAGATGGGAGAAGATTTCATTTGCTGCTCTATACTTTCATTTTATTTCAAGACTTACTGTCTCATTCAATGAGACAATTTCAAACCTGACCCGCCAGTCATCACACACTAATAGTACGATTACATTATTGGTAGTTTTTGCTCACAAATTATGTGATTTGTATGAACCAGCACCTTCAAGAAATTATTTCCAGCTTTTCTCTCTTTGAGCTCTGGGAGACATAAATACAATGTATAAGTTCAGAGATGCAATAAGTCCCAATTCTTTTTTGTTGGAGTACCCTTTCATAATTCTGCTGGCTCTTTTAGTGTCAGTGATCCACTCTATATTTTGGAAGTACTCCGATTTTCTCAGATCTGTATGGAGAAGCTGTACTTCAGCTGTTAAGGCAACCTAATATAAATCTCAGAGCAGAGATGGGTTCTTCTGTTGGATAAACTGTAGATAATATTCAGGCAATTAATAATGAGAGATTCACATTTAATCTAGACTAACAGATTATTAAGACTAACAGATGACACTTCTCTACAAAGTGATGTGTGGAATTCCTCAGATGGGATTTGGCTTTGGAAATATTTCCCAGTTTCGGGGGACTGTCTTATCCTAGAACCCTCAAATGATAATCAGAATACCAAGGACTTCTCAAATACACTACTGATTAAAAGCAAATTAGTCTGCTATAATATAACTATTGAACCAGAGTATATTCATATTAACTAAAATTTCATATGAAATTTGGAAAAACGTTAAGTTTTTTTAAAGATTTATTTATTTATGCTTACAGAATTGGGGTATAGGCCAAAGGTGTGGTGGGTGAGAGGAGTCACCAGAAACAGGGAGCAGAACAGGCAGATGTACTGAAATACACTGCTGAGGGGAACAGCAGGTGGCTTAGGAGAGGTCTGCTGCACCATGTGGGTCAGCTTCCTGACGGGGGATTGAACTCGTGCTGCAGTGGCTTTAGAGAGCTTCATAAGGCAGTGCTTTAACCTGTTGCATCACCAGGGAGAGCTCAACAGTTAAGATTTGGGGAGGGGGGAGAAGAAACTAAAACGTTATCTTGTAGCATACATTTTGTTCTTAACAGTGCTAACTCTGTCTTCTCTTCAGAGACTTGAGTATCATTTGGGATGAAAAAACCTTCTGACAGAGTTGCACTAATAACCTTATTTGATCACTCTGTTGTAGAGCTATGGCTAGGATAATTTGAAATTCAATTAATAAAAACCAGGCATGGGTTTATTAAAAGAAATTTTATTTTATCATAGAATAAAAAGTAATTTCTTAAAAACGTTTTCTCTTCTTAGTTAATTTATATTTGTGGTTTCACCCAGAAACCAGTGAAACATTCATTTCCATTTTTCTCTGCAGGATTGCATTCTCTCCCAGACTTCTCTTCTATAAGGAGAAAAATTTTAAATACAAATTATCCCTTTATGCATAATGATGGGAATGCTAGGCCACTACCAGAGGCTGTTTTGTTGTATAAATACAAAGATAAGTAAAATCCAAACCTTGATTCTCAAAGAACTCACAATCTAGTTAAGGAAGCAGATACTTAAATAATTATTTTATAGTCATTATTCAGTAAAATTCATGGTCACATAAAGCTTTATTTAACATACTAAGAAGAGGAAGGAAGGAAATGGTTGGCTGAAGGGGTTTAAAAGATACAGAAATTAAATTTTAAATGACGCAGAAATATGGAGGGTATTTTGTTGGATATATCTTGACCTACCACTTCTCAGGGTTGGTTTTGGGATTTGAGGTATAACTAACCCCAAGTAGAACCTCTTGGTTTAATGTGTTCAACAACAGAAGGTAAAGCATGAATGAAAGAGTCTCAAGGTGGCCTTCAAAGAGGTCACCTCCAATTGGAATGTACCAATCCAGATCCGGCAGCAAAAGTAAGCAGATGAGGTCACATATGGAACTGTAATATTCTTGCATTTAATCTGAAAACAAAACAAAAACCATAAAAAGCACAGAAATGAAGCATGAAGCACATATCATAAGAACATGGCTATCAGAACGAGGGCAAGCAGCAGGGACCAGCCATGCAGCTGAAACACGGATCAGGGTTTCTCAAAAAGTACCAGTTCTTAATGAGAGGAGCAAAAAGGGGTCAGGCTACCTGTTTCCTCAAGAGGCAAATCCTCTAAGGTGTCATCAATAGCCTGTAACATCTGCTTTAGTGCGGAAAGAATGAGAACATCCTTTAAAGGATCTTCGTCCCAACTTGAAGAATAATTTTCAACCATCAATATATTAAAAATAGAAATGTGTAGCATTTTCTGGACTTTCATTATCTATGGGAAAATGAAATTTAAAAGCATGTTTAGTTCTTGAAATTTGACTGAATTTAAGAAAGAAGTCAGAAAAGCTCGATAAATCATATAATTACAGTTTTTAAGTGGTCTATACACTTGAATTAACAAGGCAGTTGATCCATTTCTTCATTTACCTGTAACTATGTAATGTGAATACACACACACACACACAATGACATCTTGTTGCAAACAGTATTCTTTACCTGACTTCGAGAAGCCATAGATTTATTCATGTTTAATAAGTCCTCTTGAAGAACTTCACTGCAATCATCCAGTTTAGTAAGCAAGACTACAAATGGAATACCTACATGAGGCAGATAAATCAATCACTAATTTTGTATTATGAACAACAATGTGCTGACAAGGTAATTAAATATGTATGAAAGCAGTTCTCTATAAGATGATTTTAAAATTTGGGGAATGAAATACCCCCCAATAAATCTCAACATGGCACATGTAGTTATTAGGAGAAATTCTCTTTTTCTCCCAATATGACAGTGGAATCAAATTCAAAGTAACTTGAAATCATCTATTATTCCATGTAACTAGTACATTTTAAAGGGAGGAATTCTGGACCTGGAATTCTAAAAATAAAAAACCCAAGAAATAGAGAAAATGGGGAGGTTTATATGTGAGCATTTATGATGCACTGATTGCATAGTTCTACTAAGGAACTACTGTCTTGCCCTTTAAAGCACAGAGAGATGAGCTCACACTCACCTACTAATCTAATCAAAGTACAACTCTACTAAAAACTGCTTCCCCAGGAAGGAATATAAACTTAAGATACTCAAATGCCAATCAAGAATATACCTCACACTCCTTTACTGGATTTTTTAGTAATTCCCCTCACAAATATCTTCTGTTTATGATTCCATCACTAAATGATGACTTCACTGATGTTCCAGAGCAATAAATAGCAAAGTTGGTTAAATAAATCTGGTCACTAGAAGAGGGCAGTTTTCTGTTGACACATATTAATTTTTCTCCAGTTTATGTCACAATGTACCACTATTTCATGCAATACAATGTCTTCTTAGTGGGTGCATTAAGCATTGTCACTCAACAGAGTGTGTAGCTATGTGTCCTTAAACTCATTTCCAATCATAGCACTTCTTTCAGTCTTATCCCAAACCCACCATCATTTTAGAGCATCTTTGTTAAACATTTATATGTTTATATATCTACATATATAAATATGAATATATGTTGCTACTGTTTTTACATGCAAAACTTACTGTTTCCTGGCCCTCCCTGGTGGTGCAGCGGGTTAAAGCACTGCACTAGGAAACTGAAACCACTTCCGCATGAGTTCGATTCCCGCCTGCCCCGGAGGAGACCACATGGCGTGGCAGACCTCTCCTGACCTTCCCGCTGCTCCCCTCAGCAGTGTACTTCGTCGATCTGCCTGTTCTGCTCCCCACTCTGTCTCTGGTGAAGTCTTTCGCCACCCCTGAGGCTCTGGCCTGTACCCCAGTTCTGTATGCACAAATAAATAAATCTTTAAAAAAAAAAACAAACAAAAACAAAAACCTTAACTGTTCCCATTTTACAAAAGACTACAGTTTAATGCACTTAAACTGATCTCTTAAGTGTAATTCAAATTTTAAAAAATAAAAAATGTCACTGATTTATTGTTTACATAACAATATAACTTGGGGAATACAGATTTACACCTTGACACATGCAGCTGCTTCACTGACTCCCCACCAGAGCTCCAGGGTCAGTACCATCATTATGTCCCCTCTCTTCCCTCCTCCCTCTCCATAATGAAATGAATTTACTGGATTTGCTCTTCCTGACCTAGTTACATAATGTGGGGAAGTGACTTCCCTATTGAACCTGAGAAAGTCACAAGTGACAAAAATTTGTGGCTATCCTTGTCTTTAAGAATTGAAGATCAGGGGCCTCCTTGGTGGCACAGTGATTAAGTCTCAGCACTATGAAGCTATCCACAGCCACTGCAGCATAAGTTTGATCCCTGACCAGGGAGGGGACATCCATGGTGCAGCAGACCTCTCCAGACCTGCCTGCTGCTCCCCTCAGCAGCGTATTTCAGTACATCTACCTGTTCTGCTCCCTACTCTGTCTCTGGTGAATCCTCTTACCCTTGGCACCTCTGGCTTGTACCCCAGTTCTTGCATGCATGCATAAATAAATATATTTTAGAAAATGAACTGAAGACTAGGATTTAGGATTTTTCCCTTTACTCAAGAAAGTAACCAATGTGTGCCAGCTGTTGCCACCCACCATCCCTGGGCTCTGGGAGTTGGGGGAGGAGTATACATGGGCTCTCTGAATCTTTTCAACTTCCTTGGAATATATAACTTCAAAATAAAAATTTTCATAAATACAATGAGACTCACCCCAGCGTAATGCTTCTTTTTGAATTTGCTTGAAATTTTCCACCATCTTAGAGGAAAGATTGTCAGTAGAGTTGATATCTAAGACTAAAGCCACACATTGAATCCTGTCCTTTAGTTTTGGAGTGGTGAGGTAGTAACAATGATTTGGCGTAATTGGTTTATCAGGATTAAACTGTTAGTGAAACATAAGGTTATATTTAGTAAGTCTCTGTTCACTGTTTTAAGACACAATTTATGTGGCAAACATGATGACCACTACCTTCCAAACTGAAATTGTCCCTTCCCTCTCCTAGTTACTCCCCAGCTCAGTTAGTAGTGTCTCTTCCATACTTCTTTCTTAGGATGATATGTCATTATATATACATTTTAAAACAAAAAAGCACTTCATTGTTTTGGTGAAAAATAGTGGAAATATTTTTTTTTTTAAAGATTTATTTATTCGTACAGAACTGGGGTACAGGCCGGAGATGCGGAGGGTGAGAGGATTCACCAGAGACAGAGCAGGGAGCAGAACAGGCAGATCGACGAAGTACACTGCTGAGGGGAGCAGCGGGCGGGTCAGGAGAGGTCTGACTCGCCATGTGGTCACCTCCGGGGCAGGCGGGAATCGAACTCCTGTGGCAGCGGCTTTAGATTCTCAGTGCAGTGCTTTAACCCGCTGCGCCACCAGGGAGGGCCCAATAGTGGAAATATTTTAAGACAGTACAAAGAATGCATAAACAGAAAGCCAACTTCAAATCTGTCTTCAGAAAAAATTGCATTAATGTTTGTTACACTTGATGTAAGATTCTAAGTAATTTGTGTATACTTAACTGAATTAATGACTAGAGAAAAACATATGTGTAAATATATAGCGCATTCTGAAAGTGTCATTTTAATCTTAAATATGATCTTTTCTTAACATTATGTAAGAAAAGAAAACTAAAGTGAAACAGAAAAACATATGAATTTTCTAGTAAATCTTACCACAAAACAAAAATCTTTCTAGGATTAAGTAAATAGGTTAGAAAAAATTAAAGAGTTTAGCTTCATTATCTTCACAACTGTATGTCTCAATGTTGAACTGAACAGAGGGGCTTTCTGCTCTGAAAAATGAAAATGCCTGTATGTTCATGATTTCTCCATCTCCCTGCTGCTATCCTTCTCCTCCTTATATCTGTGTATCTCTTTATAAGCTCCATGGCCATAGAATTACAGCTTATGTGATTCCAGTAGTCTAGTACTGTGTCTGACACAAATTTATTTTGTATTAAAAAGGTTTCCAAGGCTCTCCCTGGTGGTGCAACGAGTTAAAGCACCACATTAGGAAGCTCTCCAAAGCCACTGAAGCACTAGTTCAATCCCCGGCAGGGAAGCTGACCCAGATGGCACGGTAGAACTCTTCTGACCCACCTGCTGCTCCCCTCAGCAGTGTACTTTGTCGATCTGCCTGCTCTTCTCCCACTCTATCTCTGGTGAATCCTCTCACCTACCACACCTCTGGCCTGTACCCCAGTTCTGTAAGCATAAATCAAATAAATCTTAAAAAAAAAAATAAGTAAAAAAAATCAGTTTCTAATCAAGTAGATTTGAAAGGCAAAGGAAGTCACTAGTAGAAACTGAGGCAGTTTTTATCTAAAAGAAAGGTGATAACATTAACCTCTTGAGAATGTATAGTACACCATCTCATTTAATATTCTCAGACAACCTATGACTTGGGTATTATTATCGCTTACATTTCACATGTGAAATAATTAAGACTCACAAAAACAAGCATATAACTTTGTTATGCGTGCACAGCTAGTTAGTGGCAGAGTTAACACTGGTTCTAAGCTGTAAAGCCAACATGCTTACTATAAAAGATCACACTTCAACAAAAATTATTAATTGTTCCAATATTTTATCTTTGTAATCAAAAAGTGCATGAGGTTAAAAACCACTAATTTCTGATTATTTTACAACATGGTAAAGAGTGATATAAACAGTCTCTTCCTGACATTTTTCTGGAACTTGATTGAGCAGAATACCACATTTTAGCTGGGTTTCTTGGTGATATAGAAACACGTGTTTTGTTTACTTATGTTATCTTATCTTTCTAAAGTACAGTAGTGTTGGCTGATGTTAGAACCATCTTATGAAAATTGAAACTGCCTTGTGGGATAAAAGTACAACAAAAAAAATCATTGATAATAAGATTTGAAATGTTTCAAAGTTTATAGAATTCTTACCTGGTATCTGTCTAGTATGTTGCCTTTTAAGAGGTGGGCTATGTCATCCATACACAATCCTTCTCCCTCTTTATCAGCCAGCCCCATGGTGTCGCACAGTGTAAATGGCAGAGATTTGCCTTCTTTTCTGTCTCTAACTGAATATATCCTATACTACAAAGGAAATACATCAAGTATAAAATTCCATTCTTCAAATGGCATTCAAGAAATGACAATAAATCCATAAGTGGATCTTAAACTTAGAATATATCATTTATCCATGCATAATTTGTGAACTGATGCATTGGTCATTCAAAAATATTGGTTCACTGATTTATTTGTATCTTTCATGTATTGACACATTTCATTGTACAATACCACAAAGTTCTGCTCACAACTCAATTACATTGATGCTTCCCTCAATAACCACCATAGTTTGTTTGCACTAGAAGCACTTGATAGTGCTTTTTTTTTTTTTTTTAAATAAATTCTCTCTCTGGTTAAAAACTTCTCTGTTCCTTAAAAAAAAAACAAACTTCTGTTCCTTAATTTCCTTCATTTCCTTCCTGAGTTCACTGAGTTGCCTCTGTATCTTTTATAGTTTGTTGAGTTTCTTCATGACAGCTATTTTGCTTTCTGAAGGTTAAAATTTAAAAATTGTCTGTTTTTTACTTTTGATGTTTGATTACTTCTTCATTTTGGCATTTTGCTAACATACCATGCAATGATATGCATCTATGCCTGAGCATTTGACTTACCAATAGTAATCGGTTGTCTTTTTTTTTCTCTAGTAGGTGCAGTGTGGCTTTAGTTTTCAGGTTTTTTTACCTATATCATTGCAGCAGGTACAAGAAGCAGAAAGTGAAGCAGGATCCTAGTATCACAGCTATAAGCAGGTTGCAGCAGTAAGTCAGTCTTGGGTTCAGATTCCCAGAAGGGGTCTCACCCTGTGTGCACAGACTGTCACTGCCTTTATTTTTCTAAAGATTGATGTATTTATGTGCACAAGAACTGAGGTACAAGCCAGAGATGCAAGGGGTGAGGGATTCACCAGAGAGAGAGTGGGGAGCAGAACAGGCAGATTGACCAAAATACACTGCTGAAGGGAGCACTTTGAAGGTGGAATCATCAAAATGAATCAGTTCTGCTTTCCAAGAACAATTTCTTATAGATTAGCTTTATACAATGGGAAATTATTGTATTACATAATTCTAATTATTTTATTATAAATAAGATAAAAACATGCAATGAGGGACATAAGTAAATATATATATCAAATATAATGGACAAATATTGGCATGAAGGTTTTATAATTTTATTATTGTTTTCTTTCAGTAAAAAATAACATTTTCATATAGCTTCTTACTGTATCCATAAAAATGCAAAGCCTCAAAGGAGGCCATTTTAATGCAAACTTTACTTTTGTTTTACATTTTATTTAGTATTGCATTGTTTAAATATTAGTAGGAAATAATGTTCTGAAATGACAAAGAAATGAAGAAAACAATAAGTATAATCATTAAAACATAAGCTGTGATAACTTACCTGTTTAGTAATACTGGTTATATCAGACCCCACTGGGGCTTGCCGAGTCACATGACCTTGGAAAATGGACTTCACTGAATTGAAAAAGCTGGACTTTCCAGATCCCACTGGACCCAGCAGTAGAATACGAACTTTGGAAACCAAATTTCCACAAAACTCATAGTCTCTAAGGTTTGCTAAGAGATTCTCCCTGCGCCTATTAAAATGCAGTACAACAGTCAAACTTCCATGAAGACCAGAATAATACACCTTCTCACTTTTAAAAATGTCCAATACTTATTATTTTGATATTAACATCATATGATTTGAAATGGTCTAAATTTAAACATTTTGTGCTTGAACATAATGCATTTATTTATATCTGACTAAAAGTAAACATTACCCAGAACCAAATTATTGTTACACTATTAGCGTTACACCACATACTTCTAATGAGCACTGTCAACAGCACTGAAGAATTATTACTTTCAGTAATATTATATTAAGAAAATAAAAAACAACACATGCATTGCCAGTATATCTATAAGTTGGGTGCTTTCCCTAAATTTTATTGAAGTGCCCCAAAATCCTTAAAAAAAGAAAGGACTCAGAAGAATTATCTAAAATAGTCATCCAGACTTTGGAAAATTTGAATCTAAAGTGAAACATCAAGTAAAAGATAGTTTTTAAAAATCCCATAGTTGGTAGTGGTTTGGCTTTAGCATTCTAAACTGCCTTTGACATACTATGTCAGTTATGTCAGTAACACTATAATTCATTTTTACTCCTCCAGGTGATATGAATTTTCCCTTACTATTTTATAGCCAGTGTTACTTATACAATTGTTCTAAATGAAATGACTAATAGTCCAAGAATCTAACTTACTGTATGGCTCTTCTTATCTTGCTTATTTTTCTTATATAGCCCACATCGTCCTTAATTCCTGTAGGAAATAAGCATAGCATAATAATTTCTTAAACTTGTTTGGGCAAGTGGCCAAGTCTACCTTATACTTAGGGTACTGAGTCTGCTTACAGGCTGTGCTGCTCAGTTAGGAGTTAAGGTTAGCAGCATTAATGAGACAAGGAGGGAAAATTATCTTCTCTACATAAGAACTCACTCTGGAAACTGCCATAACTGTGCCTAGAGTTCCAAGGGCTAACTCAACAGGAATCATGATGAAAAACAGACTTGTTCAGCAAGACCTCTTTTTCCATCTGCAACTCCATGTCTCTCCATTCATACACTTCAACTTACTTTGTTCAAAGCTGCTTTCATGTTCTAGGTACTAACCACATAGGCCTTCTGCCTTCCATTTTTCATTTTTTGATTTATGAAAGAGAATTTGATGGCATAAAATTTTACTGTCATATTTTTTTCTTCTTCTAGATGAGTTATGACCTTCAAAGCACAAAGACTAGAACCATAATGTAGGATTATCTAAGTTAACATACCTTCAACTCGAAAAACTTCACATTCATGATATGTTTTGTAAAAGGAATGATGTATTCCAAACTTTTTACTTAATAAGTCACATGAAGAACATGTCATGTTATTTAGATCCACAGACAAAATCTCAACATCAGAGAAATAAAATTTCAGGCATCCACCAAATATATCAATAACTGATGTCCCAGTTAAAAATTCATGTGACATTTTAACTTCTGAAACTTTAATTAAAAAAATGAAAGAAGAATTTGGCTCTCTACCATCTTCACATTCCATAGGATAATGCCCAAGTATAAGGGCCCCCCAAATACAGGCATTAGAGTAAAATATTGTTAGAGTAGATCCCTGGTTTTTGCATTTATTAACTAGAGCATATGAACTGTTTCCATGGACACCAGATTTATAGAGAAGACTCAAAGAAACGTTCCCAAGCAATTTTTGCAGTCCCTCTTCCAAATTCCATGGCAAAATGGTTGTCGCGGCCATTGTTCTGTATCTGATAGAAAAATAAAAAGAGGTTGAGGGACAGCAATGACATAAAGCACAAATTTATGATCCTATTGCAATGATTTGTTTTTTCCTCTCACCTATTTCAAGCATGTTGTTTAGATTATAAGGCAAACATGTGTATAGCAATGGAACAATCATGACAAAAAGTAAATAATGTAGGAAAGAAAAATAATGTTTTTCAGTTAGTAGACAAATTACAGACGGAATAAAGAAAAAATAAATTAATATATCAGATCAGCAAATTTGTTCTTAATGACAAAAACTATTTCAGGTTTTGAGGACCATAAAGCCTCTGCCACATTTACTCAAGTTTTTTCAGTATGGTAGAGAAGCAGCGATAGACAATCTATGTAAAAAAGGACATGACTGTGCACCAATAAAAGATTTGTTTTGTTTTTAAAAAATATTTTATTTATTTATGCATAAAACTGAAATGTAGGTCATGGGGTGGGAAGGGGTAGGGTGGTGAGAGGTTTCACCAGACACAGAGTAGGGAACAGAAGAGGTGAGTCTACTGAAATACACTGCTAAGGAGTAGTGAATAAGACAGGAGAAGTCTGCTGTGCCAAGTGAGTTAGCTTCCATGCTTCAGTGGCTGGTGATTGTTTGATAATGCTGAGACTTTAACCTCTGGACCATCAGGGCAGCTCCAAAATTTATTTTACAAAAAAAAAAAAAAATGGTTGGCACAAATGCCATAGTTTGTCAATATATGAAATAGGAGATAGATATGAGAAATGTATACAGAAAACAACTCACAAAGAAAGAAATCAAAATATAAAAGAAATGGATATGGAGGTTCCATAGTGGCAGAAGTCACTAAGTCACCATACCAATAGTTTTCAATTAGAAAATTTAGAAATACAGACTAAACTGTAAATTACAGATATCTAAAAGTATTAGAACATAAAGAAGTAAAGAATTACGTTATTTGCTAAGGTGAGGGGGAGAGGTGTTGAAAGTGAATACAACAGAGGTAAATGTGGCATTTGGGAACACATTTGCTTGAAATGCTACAATCAGCTTTAGAAATGGCTCCTAAGGTGATGAGGAGCCTAGCAAACAAAATGGTATAAGAAATGGGAAGGCAGAAAATGTTAAAGATCTGAGAGAGGTATCTTAAAAGGTATATATGGTCTAATGACTTGCTAGAAGAGTATTTAATAACTGTTTAACTGTATTTAAGTAAAACCAAACTTTAATTTCTCCTATAAAAAAGATTAAAGCATTCTGAAACTCCTTTTACTAATTTTTAATAACAAAGACTCTTTAAGTAATCTGAATTAGCTTGGTGCTCTTTTACCCACAGGTTTAGTCAGCTCAAAAAAATGTAACCTGTTAGCATTGCTAAGCCTTGTCAAAGAAATAGATCTGCTCCTAAAAATCTTTGTCACTCTGGGTATTTATGTATTTTATAAAAATCTGTAAATTTATAACAGAAGTATTCTAAAGTGTATAAGACTTCTTAAAACCTAATATATTGTGGTAGGCACTCCATAACACAGACCCTGAACGGGAATACCAGTTCTATGACTCCATGCAAGTTCCAGATACTGGATAAAGGACTCCAGATCTCTCTCTCAATACTTTAAAACATGGCCTTCAAGGTCTATAATAACAGGGAAGAGATCAGCCAGGATGAGAGTAAAGAGAGAGAGAGAAAAAAGGGAAGGACCCAACATATGGCAGCTGCCATTGCTAGCACCCTGTCACCACAGTCTCACCCCCTCCCCCCCCAGCCCACCCCACTTACCACCCACTGGGCATCTAGGATCTCTGTCTCCTAAAGGGCCCTAGTCTATTTCCTCTGACACTTCAGCCATGAGTATCCAAAGCCATGCCCTCTCTGCCATGGCACAGGACAATGGAAGAGAACCTGTCCTACTCTCCAGAGAGGGAGATAAACCAGGGGCCAGATGGGAAGTCAAGATGGCCATTATCTGCCTCTGATTATGAAGAACCAGGTGTGGGAGAAAAACCTCCTTTCCTGAAGGGCCCAGAAGTGAGACAGGCTCCCCTATTTACAATCTTCTATGGGTGAGCCTTAGATGACCCCAGGATTGGCAAACAAAGAGAATACCTTTTGATGGAGATAGGAGTCATCTACTTATGTTTTGCCCAATTCTCTAGATTGACCTATTAGTTGACTAGCCTCCTCACCGGTATTAGACTGGCCGTATTAGTGGCCAGTCTAAGCCAGGAGAGTTTACCACACTGCTGCCCTGCTCACTACAAGGTCACATGTTTACTCATCCACATTTGGTCTTACCTTTTGCCCCACTCCTCTGTTAAGACAGGACATCATGACCACATTCCCAATAAGTCTACAAGTAGCAGTCTCTATGACTACTATCAGCCCTCTTAGCTCCCAATGCAGGTAATAAAAACAGAGAAGGGATCATCCCCCCACCACCACATACATACAAAAAAACAAAAAACACTGATTTTTCTACTCTGGCTACACCCTTCCAGGTGTCTGAGACACTACAATCCCAGGCCAACCTATTTTTGCCACCCCTACTAGGTTGCAATTAAAGGGCCTTCATATCTTCCCCAGGGAGGTGACCCACATGGCACAGCAGACCTTTTCTCACCTGCTCACTGCTCCCTTCAGCATGGTACTTCATCAGTTTGCCTGTTCTTTTCCCTACTCTGTCTCTGGTGAAGCCTCTCACCCCACCCCACCCCACCCCGCACCTCTGGCCTGTACTGCAGCCCCCAGTTCTTGTTTGCATAAATAAATAAATCTTTAAAAAAGAGAAAAGAGGCCTTCCCTGGTGGCGCAGCGTGTTAAAGCACAGCACTGAGAATCTAAGGCCAATTCCGCATGAGTTCGATTCCCGCCTGCCCTGGAGGTGACCACATGGCGTGGCAGACCTCTCCTGG